AAGGGACGTGAACAAGTTCCTATGGTTAAAATCATTCTTCCTAACCTCTCTTTCTTTTTTAAAATATTTTGTTAATTTAATTTTATTAAATTACCATTGGCAGTCTCTCTATGATATCAATCAAAGAATTAATCCATTTGGGACAACCAATCTAGGAACATGTTTGGATCATGGATCTCATCATAGATCAAGGCATCAACCTTAACCTTCTAGATAGGCTTAAGATCATGGAATCTTAGGTTTTAATTTTTAATATGGTTATATATGGATGATGTGACATTTTTTTTTTACAAACTTTTTATTTATATGTTCGAATTGAGCATTTGGTTAAGATGTATTCTGGTCTAGAAATTCAGCACTATTGGCTAAGACTTGGTAATTTAGGTTAGTTATCATTTTTTGCATCCTAGTGAATCTCAACTCATTTATTAGCGACATTTCTGCTAGCCTACTAGTGTATTTCTCAAATTGATCTAACCAAGATACTTTTTGTGGCAATATAATTGTAATGGAACACACTACTTAAGCACACACAAAAGAGCAACATCCTTGGTTGATTGAAAATGATATGAGGTAAAAGCAATTAGGGTTTTGATGATAGCACAATTTACAATTTATACAAAAGTAGAACAAACAAGATATATAATAAAAATAAGGAATTATAGTTAGGATTGTATAAATAAATAACACTTTAGGATATTGGAATTAAGGATTATACATACCTAACTCTTTTTTTTGGAGTTAATGGTAGGGTTAAAACAATTTTAATGGTGCTCACTAATTGGAAGGAAGACAAAAGTACCAAAAATTGAACAAGAGCATGCAATAAATCCAAGAAAACTCAAAGCAAAATTGATTTTAATACAAGTAATTATAGCAAGACCAAATTTTTAGAAATACCTCGCTAGGTTTGACCTACCACCAAAGACAACTAATTCAAGCACTCCCTCCTTCAAAGTAAATGAAATTGACAATATCCATGTGATGTGAAACCTAGCTGAACTTTCTCAAATAAAAAACTTGATGTGGCCTTAAAAATCTTCTTATGCAAATTTAGAAGAATGTTTAAAATATTGTATATGAATAATTTAGATTGAAAAAGCGTGTTTGAAAAGAATTTTTTCGAGTAAATGAGTGAGAAATATCAAATAGATCAAGACAAAATTGACAATCTTTAAAACTTTTTTCTAGATTTCAAAATACACCCAAAAAAAAAGTTGAAGTTTCAATTGAGAATGATGATATATATAATTGATTTTTGTAAATATTATGATTTGGAAAAAAATTTTGAATTTCTTTATTATTATGATATGAAAAAAAAAGAAATAGGAAGTTGCACAAAAAATAAATTATGAATTGATTTATAGATTTTTGAGTTAAATAGAAATACAAATAAAGGATAAATTTTATATGGAAGCTAACCTACAATGAATATAGATCAAATATAAAAATTTAGAATTTTTTTAAAGGGTATTAGGTTACTTGATGAAGCCAAAATCCTAACAAGGGAGGCTTGGACAAAATTCTTGCTAAAATTTATAAATTGTAGGAGGAAGATATTTTGGTGGTATAAAAATGGAAGGAAAAAACAAAATGGCTCCCTAAAGAAGAGAAAAAAAAAACAAAGAAATTAAAACAAATGACCAAACTCACTAAAATTTAATGGTGGGTAATGATTACATTTCATTTTACTCAATGTTTTAAAATAAATTTTACACCAAACCCGCCTATTAACCTCACGAGTTTTAGGACAATGAACTTCTCTCACTCATCCACTCTCTGCACTCCCTCACATAATCACTCTTCCACTTGTCCACTACATTGGCCAACCACAAGGTTTTTCCTACCAGCACAAAAATACATAAATCAATTTAAATCAATATTAATATATATTAAAATACAGGAATTTTTCTAAAATTTTAATTATCTTCATTTGGCTCTTGGTAATAGATCCACCTAAATGTGAAATAACTCTCCTAAATTGTGCTCTGGTAGTGGTCCCCACCCTAGTGCCTGTGAGCCCCACTTTGGTCCACCTTTTATGCTCATGGGCCCCACCATAAATTCATAATGATGTGCTGCATCATTATGCAGTTATCAGACTATCAAATGTGTCCAATCTTAAGTTTTGAGGGGATAATCCTTGACCTTGTGTTCAACACTATAAATATTGAAACATTTATCAATAATCAAGCTACAAGATCTTGATTGCCTTTCCTTCAATAAGCACAATATAAAATACTCGTTAAATTCTTTGCATGTTGATTTTGTTGTAGCTTCTTAAAACTCACATTTGCATACACGTTCGCACTCTCACTTATAAGCATACATTCATTCACAAGCTTTGATCTCTAACTTTGCATGAATAACTTAATCCAACAACTCTCTATCGGTTATACACTTAACAAAAGATAAGTAGTTTTGAAAAATTTCTTTCAAGTCAAAAATAATGTAGATCTTTTGATATTCTTGTCGACTAATAGAGGAAATGAACCTAACAATTCGAACGAACTATCTCATACTCTCGAATTGTAGTTTTGTTCTTTAATCCATTTTTTTTAAGTCATCCATTAATTTGGCACAATTTTTATTAAAAAATATTGCTCTAGAAATGCCTTCTCAAAGTCTAGCCAAGAGCTCACTGTGTTAATGCCTTATGTCGATGACTCCCATTACTCATCACCTTTGTTACCTTAGGGGCATTTTATATCTAGAAATGCCTTCTCAAAGTCTAGCCAAGAGCTCGCTGTGTTAATGCCTTATGTCGATGACTGCCATTAATCATCACCTTTGTTACTCTTAGGGGCATTTTATACCTTTTCTTGATTTCACGAAACCGTGCATTTGACCATGCTATTAAAATTAGGAAGATGCTTCCTAAAAAAATAATTCATCACTCAATCAATCACTCCACCCTTAGCCATCACAAACTAGAGCATTATATCTCTATCATTAATAGATGCAATAAATTTATCTTAATGAATATGTATATGTCTTGTATAATTATCAGCTTACTAAGTCCCACTAATGATGGTTTGGATTAGTTTACCTCAGTCCCAATAATGGCAGCTGGTGTGCTTTCAACTCAATCACATTGAATCAGTTGTTAGATTCTTTGATTTGCTTGTGTAATTTGAACAGAGGTTATTGCATGCAACGCCTGAGTGATTCTGTGTACTAACATCCGCAACTGTTCTCATATTGGAAGTAGCATCCCATAGTCCTATTAGATTGAATAGGATCAGCACAACAATAACTAGGAGAGTGATCGCTTTAGGGACAGTGTAGCCTCCATAATTGTTCTCAATTTCTCAATATGCGAACAATGGCAACACTTATTCTTTTATGAGCCGTTATATAACTAATGTTACACATTAAAAAACATAATAATAAATAACTAAATGACTATATAAATAATATAATAAAATATTATAAAAATTAAATTTGAAATAACCTAAAATAACTTATCCTATCATATCATAAAAATACAAAGAATATTGAATACAAAAAAAAAAAAAGCTGTGATACCATTTCTAATTATCCCCATCCATAACTCATCAAGGTATTATCTAATTTAGCCAAATCCGATCAATGTTTTATCCCATTGGTATAACTTCTCAAATGCTCACCAATCTCAAGAGGGCTTCCATTCGAGCATGTATAATGTTAAGAGTTTCTAATAAAACTCCAACAATACTCCAAAAAGATCACAATATTTAAAAGTGCATCTTCATTCTATTTCAAGGCTGTTATAATTATTCTCACATATTATTACACGACCCAAAAGCAACCGCCAGCCTGGTAAAATTCTATAGATGGCCCTCATTCAAAAGATGGCTTCCATCATGCAGCACTTCGAAACATGGCTCTCAAAATTTAACACTTTATTCTATATGACACTTAGGGTATATTTAGGGTAGTTGCAACTATTTGAAAAAACAGTTGTGATGCTGCTGCAGAATATCTTTTGTCAAAAACGTCAAAAACTGTTGTAGCTATTACAAATTTATTTTATTTTCAAAAATTCATATCGTAGATTTCTAGAAACTACTACATTTTAACTGCTCAAATTGAAAAAAATAACTTTCTACCATAAAAATTTCTAAGAAAATAGCAAGAAAACATTCCTCAAACAGAACTGTTAAAATAAAACAGACAAAAAGCTGTCCAAGACCCTTAATTCTCATCATTAAGCTAATATAACATTGATATTATTTTATCACACCCCAAGTGATATTGAATAACCTATGATATTGATAAAATAATATGAAGTTTTATACTAAAAAAAATTAATATAAAAATCAAATATATAATAAGTGTAAGCAAAGAACGATCATATTTTACTTTAATTAATAAACACAATATTATTCAACAAGAACTGGGATGTCTACTGAAAACAAAACCGTAGGAAGCTACAACAAATAGAAAATTCCCCAAACCCTAAAAAATATGATTAACAAATAAACTAACAAAAACAAAAAGAGCCTAACGCTCAATAATATGTTCTTGTGACAACGGTCCATCAGAAAGAAAGTAGAAGCTGAGGCTGAAGTAATTTAGGTCAAGAGAGACGAGATCACAAACTTACATTAGTTCGCAATTAGAGCGAGGCTTGATTTATTGGACAATTTTTGACTGATCTCACTGATAGCTAGTTTTAAATTTTATGATAAATAAATAAATCCAATTTCGCCTGTAGAAGGTTTCTGTCGATAGTACTTTGACCTAGCTTGATTTATGGTCTCATCATCAAATGTTTTCCAGTGTCAGATGATGCATGCCTTGGATGATTATATCCTCGGTTTGTGAATGCCATCTCACTGTCCTGTTAGTTGCTATCCTGTGATTCTTTGTTTTTGGGGCCAAATCTACTTCACTTACTGTAGCTCATTATGGTCATTTTTTTGTGTCTTGAACTTACACTAAAAGGAAATTGTGATTTCCCATCATTTTTTTCCATAAGAAAATAAACATAAAAAGAATCCTCGTAGAAACTTTATAAAACTACTTTCGGATCAGTGTTAAGAAAATTCTGAAAATTATTTGCATTTAACAAGTAGTGGAGGAAATGAAAATGCTAAAAGATGGCTGTCATTATCGCCCTCTACGTTCGGAGTTTTTAGCGTAGAAGCAGATTCAATGCTCTTGAAAATGGAGATGCTAGCATCTGCTGAGAAAAACCAATAAAATTTGCCTCTAATGGTATATTTGAAAAAATTCCATAAATACAATGATTAGATAGATGTAGAGGAGAAATTAATGAGAACATGAACAAAAATGACTTTGTAATGAGCATGTTCCTCTAATGTACCCTGCAGTACAAGTCCACAACTAATGTAGCTATAGCTTGGACCTCTCTAATTTATACACCGATCGATCGAAAACCAAAACCGTTCCTGATCCTGCATAAAAGAAACAAAGCAAAACAAAAAACATATGATAAGATGAGCAACTCTGCATGGCAATTTGAAGTCTAAACCATGCGTGATTCCTTACAAGCCATTCCAAATCGACACTTGCATAGCGGCAGATCAGTTGCACATTAAAATCGATAGTGCAACTTGTATCAGTTGGGATGATTGCTAAGACTAAGAATATTATGCCAAGCTATATCTAGCAGATTAATTTCTGCTGATTGGTGTAGTAAAGTTCTTAAAATATGGAGGCACAATCGACACAGTGACACAAGGTAATGCATGTTTAGATGAATATGAAATAAAAAAAACAAGATTTACACACGAAGGACAATCCCGATCCACAGATTGCCAATAAAAACAACAAAGCCATTTTTATTTGAGAAAATTTAAGCTGAAACGTTCTCGCCAGTTTCTATATTAATCCACATGCACGTTAAATTGTACATACCAGTGAAATTAAACATTCACATTGCCTCAACAAGTTACAAGGCTAGCGCTATTTTTAAAAATAGCCTGTGTTAATTAACCATCAGATAAGAACGTCTTCCCATCGTTGGTTCTTGCCTGTTTGATTTCTAAATTGGATGTCATAATCAACTTAGCAGATGCAACAAAGGCAAGTTTTTTTCACGTAGATTTAATATTTTTATGATGGGTTATACGCACCTTATATTTATGATTGATTTGATACCCAACATATATTAGCACTAAACAAGCCTATATGATGAAAAAAAGATACGAATATCGTCTTTTTTAACAGGAAATCAGTGAAGGTTGTCTGGTAAAACAAACGAAACCAAAATATACACAAAACACCGTTAAACTCACTGAATCATGGTACAACAAAGATTTTTTTAAAGCAGGTGGCTGCATCATTTAAAAGTGAAGAGAGTGTGTGTGTACATAGTTATATATTTATAAATGATGCCTTGGCATTTTGTATAGTTGGGAAAGGGATAACGTCAGAGATATGTGATGACATTGGATTCTCGCTTTCAATTAATGATGCATACAAAACAAGGGCATTAGATCAATTTCAAAAGCCCGTAATCATGATGATTATTTTATATTATTTTATTTTATTTTTTAAGATACTTAAGCTTATCATGTGAGAGGATTGAAGAGAAAATTTTAAATAAAAAACATAATTTAGAATCATGCAAATAAACACAAATTAAATATTAAAGAGAAACAATAAATAGTCCATTGAATACTTTAAATTTGAGTTATTTTATTAGTTTCAAAATAGATAAAAGTTATTGAGAGGGCTGCCAATCGAGCTTATAGATAGATTTTTAAGAAGAAAATTTGATTTCTTTGGATATTTCTATAGGACTTCAAGTGCTATAATATACCCCCATTGATTCCAAAAAAAAAAAAATTAACTTTGATCCCTACAAGAACATCCTAGATGAAGTTGGTGCTTGTCAGCTTTTATATTGATATGAAAATCAACCACAATTAAGGTTTGTGAATCATAATATATTGTTTTCTCTCTTGTTTCTTGTTCTCCTAATCCCTAGCACCTTCTTAAGACCTCAATCCTTTTCAACCCTCACAAAGTTATACCACATTCATAAAACCCTAACTATTACGATCCCCCAAATCTAAATCTACATAAAAAATTTATAAATTAATTATTTAATACAATTGATTAAAATCACCTCCATTAACAAGCTACATCTTAAATATGTAATCCAGAGTCATAACCCTTTTTCATCAAATAAAAAGCAGCTTCCCACCTCCATAAATTTTTAACATTAAATATGTCAAAAAACCATACACTAGTTAAACATTTTCCCTTACCCTCAACCAACCTTAAACTGCCCACTTCTACTCCAACAACCTTTAAAACCTAATAAAAAAATATCTTCATCATATGGTAACATATGTTTTTCTCTTACAATAAGCGCATAATTACTATGATCTCAAATCATTAGTACATACTTTCTTATCAATTGCTTAATGCCACATTAGATAAACTTCTATTTAAGATTGTTTAGGTTGGTGTTGCATTGTGTTGGTGTGCGTGCAAGAGAAATGATGAAGAAAAGAGAGAAGAAGGCATGGACTCGGCGTCATGTGTGAAGTAGAAAGCCGGCCCTAGCAGAACCCTAGTTGAGCGGCTTTGGTGTGAAGGGCAAAGGAGGTAGAAAGAGAACCTCGCCTGAGCATTGTGCTGGGTAAAGCCAAGATTGAAGGAAGAGGAGAGAGAAGAGGATGTTGAGTGTGTGTGAGTTAAGGCAGTCGGTTGAAGCCTAAAAAGATGAGTTTAAGAATTTAATTAAGTTATTTAATTAAATTAACACAGACACAAATATATATATATATATACACAAACATATATGTATATATATTTAAATTGAAAAGATACATAGAGGTTGTATGAGAGGACAAAAAAAAAAGTGTCATACCAATAGAGGTTGTATGAGAGGACCCAAAAAAATGTGTCCTACCCATACAATATATCAGACGCTAGCATCCTAAATAAATGAAATAAGGATGAAACATAGATAAAACACAAAAAAAAAACATGCAGGAAATAAGCTGCTAGGCACGAGCCAACTTGTCAGCCAGCTTGGTCTTGCCTCTGCCTCTGGTTCTTGGACCGGAGAAAGCTAACAAATTGTTGAGTGTCGTTCTATTACCCAAAGTTAATAGTGTATCATCCATTAAGTTCCCAAGCTGGGGTGTGTCTCCATTCTTCTTTTTCTTTCTAGATGTGTATACCTGTGATTCCTCATCCGAGGACTGCTCATCTGATCAGTTTGGTCAATAGATTGTTGAGCATGTAAGAGAGAATGAACCCCCAGCTCCTAAGATTCTGAAGAGATGGTAAGCATGTCTCTTCAACACCTGATGCATCCCGGGAAAGTGGAGCTTCAATACTATCCTGATTATCACATTCTGATTCTGAAGAGATGGTGTCTCTTCAACACTTGATGCATCTTGGGGATGTGGAGCCTCAATACTATCATGATTATCGGACTCAAGTAAACCATCTGCCAATATATTAGTCAGAAGAACAGAGATAGTATTGTCTCCGATAGTGGGAGGGGAGGTGGCATCGTGTCAACCGGTGTTTCAATAGTCTATGGAATGCACTCAAAAATGAATGAGGGACAGGTATGAGGTGGGGCACATCCAGAAGCGTTTTTACTTAAAGGTTTTAAAGTTGAATGCAACAGATAACATTGAGAAGGAGAATGTTCAAACATACAGCAGTAAGTACAATAAAGTGATATCTGTTCAAGTTTTGCTTAATGCCAACATCCCTGATGTTGTGCGTCAATCCATATTTCTCCCAAAAGATGTAAGATAATATCCCTTTCTATCACAATTCTAGCTTCTGAAGGCCGAGTCAGATTTACTGTAGGCGTGTCAGCTTTGAGGGGTTTACCGTATACCATCGCTAAAGCGAAGAGAAGCTCTTTATCAAAAAGGTGGATCTTCAAACCTGGGAAGCGCAGCCAAACAGAAATGGTAGGAGATTCAGTACGAGGGTCAAAATCAATCGTCCATTTTAAAACCTTCATCACCTGCTTTTCTATTCGAAGAACTCTTCTCGCAAACAAATGGGCGTAGTCTTCGTCATTTGATAATTGAATAAGAATGTGGTGACCATCTAATTTACCAATCATCCAACCCCGTTTCAGCTTCATTTCTCAAAGTCCTTTCAAATTAGCTCAAGTTTAGGATTTTCATAAAGAAACTTACCTACTAAGAACAGTAGACAGGACGCAGCTAGGGTGGAGATCTCTGCCCCAGTGAGAAAGATTGCAAATTTACCGCTTTTACGGGATGCTTTTTTGAGAAATACGGTTTCAATTCCAAGAGCAAAATTGTTGTAGTATCGTTGCGGAAACATATTCGAAAAAGAGACGAAAACAGGCTTATCACTGGCGAGGGCGGCGGCGTAGGAAGTTATGAAGCTATTTCTTCAGCAAGCTGTCGATCGGCACAGACAGGCGCAGACACAGACAGCCGCGAACTCTGGCGAGCGGTCGACAACGCTGGCGGAAGGCTAGTAGAAACGAATCGCTTGGCGATGCAGATGATGGTGCTACGACGCATGGAAGAAGACGCAGCAGGAGTCGCTTCTTCTCCACCGCAATCAACGACGCCAACGCATAGACGCGTGAGAGTGGAGATCGGAGCAACGGCGACAATCGAAACGCTAGGGTTCGCCATGGAGCGGAACCCTAGCAGAGCGGCGGGACGACGACATTCATAATTTATTAATAAATAA